GTTAGACACGTCTGCAGCGCAAGCGACAACAGCGTCAGCTGTAAAGCAAACCGATTGGGGTGACACGTGGGTCACAAATAATCCTCCACGGGGATAAGCTGGGCGCCCGAAATCTCTGGGGTAACTCGGGTCCGTGGTAACTCGGTTTTGGATTTCCGAAAAACGAACCCGAGTTAGCCCTGACCCGAGCTACCCCTGAAAATTCGGGGCTCTGGACGCCCGAATTATCCCGGGTAACTCAGGCCCGGGGTAACTCTGGTTCGGAATCCCGAAAAACGAACCCGAGTTAGCCCTGACACGAGTTACCCTTGATGATGCGGGGCTCTGGACGCCCGAATTATCCGGGGTAACTCGGGCCCGGGGTAACTCGGGTTTGGATTCCCGAAAAACGAACCCGAATTAGCCCTGACCCGAGCTACCCCTGATGACTCGGGGCTCTGGACGCCCGAATTATCCGGGGTAACTCGGGCCCAGGGTAACTCTGGTTCGAAATCCCGAAAAACGAACCCGAGTTAGCCCTGACCCGAGTTACCCCTGATGATGCGGGGCTCTGAAGCACTTCGAGCACCAATTCATCCCCAGCTTTCTTGAAGCGGGGCTTCACTCCAAGATTCGCTGTATGCGCCAGCGTGCTCTGGGCACGCTGGCGTACGTTCACTTGCCTGGCATGGATTCGGTAATTTTCCAGGGGCGTTTTCCACCCCCCCCACCTCGCGCGGGTGCGCCGGCAGGAGGGAGGAGGGAGAAGGGAGGGAGGAGACGGAGGAGAGGGAGGAGAGGGGGAAGGGGAGGAGAGAGCGAAGCAAGGGAGGCTGGAAGGATGGAGGAGGGAAGGAGGGAGGAGGGAAGGAGGAGGGAAAGGACAGGAGCTAAGAGGGAGCGGCGCTTCGCGCATGCGCATGCATCGAGGACGCGTCGGAACTCACACCGCTAGCAATCGCGAGGTTCTGTCTGGAGCAAATCGCGACACAGACTGCGTACCGATCGCCGCTGTGTGCTCTGAGGAGGAGAAGGAGGAGGAAGAAGAAGAAGATGATGATGAAGAAGAAGAAGAAGAGTTGCACGGGTACCATTCGCCGCCGCTTGCTCGGAGACTCTGCGCCTCCCGTTATCTCCCATCGTCTCCCATCTCATTCCCTCCCCACTCTGTCTCCCTGCGCCCTCCCCTCGCTCCATTCTCCTACCTGCTATGCACCCGATACCTCCGTCTCCATTCCTTCCATCTGTCCCTCCTTTTCCCCCCCCCCCCCTTCACCATCCCACCCTGCCCAACTATCCTTTTTTACCCCCATCCCTCCAGCTAGCCTCGACAGAACCGGAATCGCACCTGCCAGTACGCGCTGCTGGGGGCGCCGCAGGCGAGCGCCGTGGCTACAGGGTGCGAGACAAAAGCGGCAAAACTGACAGGAACGCCGAATTATCTAATCACATCGTTACCCTCGCATGATTCCCAAACATATGCTTTGGAAAGGTGAAGCCAATCGCGTTCATTACGGCTTGCCTCAGACAAGATCGGGTCTCGCGGATACTCGGACCAACGCTTCATTGGCTAACGCGGACGCCTGCGAGCGTCACAACTTTGGTCTGCTTCGGAGTTCGACGATTATAGCCAGAATCCAGATGAGCCCAATACTCCCAAACATAATCAATTTGCCAAAACGGCTTATCAGAGTGCTCGCGTGTCCTCCTGCTCCTGATCCGCCTGCGCCTTCGGCGTCGTCGCCGAGCTTTTCGTCGTCGTCTTCCTCCTCCATTCCTTATCCTTACGAAGAACTCCCCCCTGTCGCACCCCGAGGCTGGTCGGAAGGGCGGGCCGTTCGCGTGAGACGCCCTTAAGTACCATGTATGAGCCTGAGGCTTAGAAGCTGGCAACACTTTCACAAATCGAGGGCGGGTCGCTTCCAAAATGTGGCTCTCGCCTTCGCGCCGCGCACACTCGTCTTCAACATTTGCAAGAGCTCCACGGATTGAGGTCGGGTCGTTTTCAAAATGTGGTTCTCGCCTTAGCGCCGTGCACGCTCGTCCTAAACATGTGCTAGAGCTCCACGGACTGAGTCCGGGTCGTTTTCAAAATGTGGCTCTCACCTTCGCGCCGCGCACACTCGTCATATACATGTGCTAGAGCTACACGGATTGAGGCCGGGTCGTGCTCAAAATGTGACTCTCGCTTTAGCGGCGCGCACGCTCGTCTTAAAAAGTTGCAAGAGCTCCACGGGTTGAAGGCGGGTGGTTTTCACAATGCGGCTCTCGCCTCAGCGCCGCGCACATTCGTTCTAATGGTTTTTCAAACGGTTCAGGATTGTCAGGGCGCAACAGTTACGTTGACTAGCTGTGTTGAAATCCCAAGAGTGGCCTTCTGGCCCGATTCAGGACCGTCAAGACGCAACAATCAGGTTGATTCGAGGCGGTGAAGGCCTGAGAATGGTTTGTTCTGGCACGTCTCAGGACTTTCACACGGCTGTCTCCCAACAAGGCACTTCCTTCAGTGGAAGTGAATCCTTGTATGTGGCCTATGAAGAGGAAGCTTGGGGGGAGGGTGTATCCCAACATCGTTGATGAGTCTTGGGCTTACACTGGTCTTTTCCCTCCTCCTCCTCCTCCTCCTCCTCATATTCCTCCTCATATTCCTCCTCAGATTCCTCCTCATATTCCTCCTCATCCTCGTCATTATCCTTCTCGCCCTCGCCCTCCGCCCTTCCACTACACCTCTTCCTTCCGCTCCTCCTCCTCCTCCTCCTCCACCACCTCCTCCACCTCGTCGCATTCCTTCTCTTCCTCCTCCTCCTCCTCCTCGCATCCTCCTCCTCCTCCTCCTCCTCCTCCTCCTCCCTCCTCCTCCTCCTCCTCCTCCTCCTCCTCCTCCTCCTCGTCATCCTCATCCTTCTCATCCTGATCTTCATGGTCCTCCTCCTCCTCCTCCTCCTCCTCCCTCCTCTTCCTTCTCCTCCTCCTCCTCCTCCTCCTCCTCCTCCTCCTCCTCCTCTTCCTTCTCCTCCTCCTCCTCCTCCTACTCCTCTTCCCCCGATTCCGCGGATTCCTCCTCCATCCTCCCCCTATTGGGGAACGACGTCTTACCCAGCCCTCTACTACGCGAAGCGTCTAGAATACACTTCCCCTACTTCCCTTTTGGGGGGGGCGACTTCGGCAATTCTAATCCAAGATAATCCACGAGGAGCCCAAGAGAACCTAGAGTCGCCAAAACATTGCTCCAAGCCGCCCAAGATGGCCTCCAGACGGCCCAAGACGCCTCACATACACCCAAGAGGCTCTGAAAAGCACCCCCACGATAAAATAAAGGCAAAAATGTTTTGAATTTGCTTTGCTTCCGGATAGAGTGTAACATGTCTCCGTTTTCGGTTTCCCGACACTCCAATACGGCCCAAGAGGCCCCAAAGATTGCGCCAACCTGCCTACGAGGCCCTCCAGAAGGCGCCGAGACTGTTAGAAAGCAAAGCGGCCCAGGCGGCCTCCAAGACGGCCCGAGAGTCCCGAAAACGCCCCTGGAGAGGCCCAGAGCGCGAACACGAACCGACATTTCGACCTTAGCGCCCCAAGACGCCCCCGGGAGGCTCCAGCAAACTTCCGAGAGGTTCGAAACTCCACGAGGCCCCCAAAGAAGCCCCCAGCTACTTCTGAATATGAACCAGGCTGATTCTGGCCTAGGTTCCACAGACGTATGAAGACGAAGACCGAAAAGAAGAAAACGGTCTCGATACAGCTGAACATCATGATGATGTAGTTCACGCCAAAATGGGTGAATTCCTTCTCATGTGTAGCCAGGCACTGGTGGCCAAACACATTCACCCGGCGGCCATGTAGCCGCCGATGGGCACGCAGGAGAAGAACTCCGCCACAGGAAAGGAACAGAAAGAAGTCGGCCGTGGGACAGATCAGAACTCAACGACCAGCGATTTATAGAGGACGCAACGCCCCGGGGTGCCGACGAAATAGAAGTGCGTGTCTAGGCCTCTGACTCCACGCTGAAGGCGCCAACCAGGGAAGGGATTACCCACCCATCCCGCGGGCGTCGGCACGATCCCATGGCACGAGCACCATCCGACAGCCAGGATGAAGAATAGAAATGGCACAGTAGCCAACCGGGGAAGGGATAACCACCCATCCCGCGGGCGTCGGCCAGAACGGCGGTACAGGGATGTCGAAGAGACGGTACATGGAGGCGAACGTCGTGAACGCCTACGCGCCCTCAATGGGGCATCATGATAAGGTAATGCAATGTGTACGTGAGTGCTCTCGACGGGCCGGCCATACGTGATGACCCAGTTCATGTAGCCCCTCGTGGCATACTTGTCAAAAGGTAGTTGCCCCCGGTCGGAAGCACAAAGAAAAAAGTTCATGACAACTCTCAGCGCCTCGCGGATGCGAGGCCCAACCACACGGGTTCGATACCGAGGACGTAGTTATCGTAGTGGTCAAAGAAGCCCCCAAGACGCCCCCAAAACAGGCTCCCGAGAGGCCCGAAGGGCTCTCAGAATGCTGCTAATCTTATGTCGGGCATGTCCCCCTACAGGGGGATTTTGGACGAATAATTTTTCAATTACCCAAAAGAATCAGAAATTGTAAAAAAATGCTCATAACATCGTCCCCGCACTATTTTTGGGACTATCTTTAAACATTCCTCCTGTAGAGGGACAGGCCCGACTTAACGCTAATCAGTGATCTTCACCATGCCGCTCAATGATGTTGGCGTTCTTGCCCTTTCTGGCTCCCAACGGCCTCACAGAGCCCAGAGAGCCTCCATGGCAACGCCCGGTCCACCCACAAAGCCACGGGAGTGCCACCATGCAGCCCCCCGACGGTTCAGATTGGCCTTCACCACGGCGAACCTGGCCCAGGATACACTCCGAGACGGCCAAGAGTGCTTCCAAGAGACAGCCAAGTGGCTTCCAAAATGGTCCAGATGGCGTGGTCTTACAACCTAGAGAGTCCACGATGCCCTGAGAGTAGGCGAGGGTGGTTCGAGGGCGCCGAAGGCGGCCGCACGATTGCTCCAAGAAGGTCCGGCGTAGCCTCATGATGCAGCCATGAGCCCTCAGAGACATCCGGAAACCGCAATGGCCCCAAGAATCTCCTCCTCCTCCAACTGCCCCTCCTCCAACTCCTCCTCCTCATCCTGCTCCTCCTTCTCCTCCTCGTTCTCCTCCTCCTCCTCATCCTACTCCTCCTCCTCGTCCTCCTCCTCCTCCTCCTCCTCCCTCCTCCTCCTCCTCCTCCTCCTCCTCCCCCTCCTATCCTCCTCCTCCTCCTCCTCCTCAACATCATCATCATAATCAGAATCAGAATCAGATCATCATCATCATCATCATCATCATCATCTCATCATCCTCATCCTCATCCTCATCCTCATCCTCATCCTCATCCTCATCCTCATCCTCATCATCATCATCATCATCATCATCATCATCATCATCATCATCATCATCATCATCATCATCATCATCATCATCCACATCATCATCAGCATCATCATAAGCATCATCATCAACATCAGCCTCAGCCTCATCCTCATCATCATCCTCATCCTCATTCATCCTCATCCTCATCCTCATCCTCATCCTCGTCCTCATCCTCATCCTCCTAGTTCCTCTCCTCCTCCGTGGTCTCCTCCTGGTTCCTCTCCTCCTCCGTGGTCTCCTCCTCGTTCCTCTCCTCCTCCTCTTCCTCCTCCTACTTATTCACCCACCACCCTTCCCTTCCCACTTCGATTCCCGTGTCCACTTGCCCAACGTTTTCATTCTCTATCCCACACCCACTTCTTCTTTCCATCCGTCCATCCTCCCCTTCCTTCCAGGCGCCTCCTCCTGCTCATACTGCGCCTCCCTCATTTCACTGCTGCTTTGATACTGCTACTGATGCTCCTGCTTCTGCTCCTGCTCCTGCGCCTCCTCATCATCATCATCAACATCATCATCAGCATCATCATCATCATCATCATCATCATCATCATCATCATCATCATCATCAGCATCATCAGCATCATCATGATCATCAGCAGCAGCATCATCATCATCAGCATCATCAGCAGCAGCATCATCATCATCATCATCATCATCGTCATGAGCATCATCATCACCATCATCATCAGCATCATCATAGTCCTCCTCCTCCACGCTGGAGTCCCTTTCGAACGCTTTTGTCATCACGGGGCCCTCCAGTAGCACGGTCGGAAACCTCTTAGGAGCCTTGCAGCCTTCCCGAACACCTCCGAACATTTCCTGCATCACGAGGGTCATCTTCCAGGGTCGGCGGCACCGGCCGCAAGAAATCTCCCAATAGTATTCCATGAAATTCAATAGTAGTGTGCTCCGAAACCGGTAGACTCATTCCAAACCTACTGCGCAATGGGAGCAGCTGTTCTGCACACGCGCGAAGGCTCTTCACCTGGGGGCCAAAGCGGGCTGGGATGCTCGTCCTGGCGGAGCACCAGCTTCCGTGGGAGAGTTCTGGTTGTTTCGCACAGGCGAGAGACAGGCCTCGGAAAAAAGTGGCGAACACTCGTGCCACAGTCATCGGTCAACGCCTCCCCCTCCCCCCAATGTTCAAAATTCGCCGTGGGTCTGATAGGTTGCACTTCAACCGCAGTCTCCTCCGCGCGTGCCAGCTTTGAGTTTGGGGGAGAGGGGGGGAGTGTCCACTAATTGTTGCCCTCTGCCGAGTCAACCCACCTAAGACCCCCAAACTGGTCAGACTTTCCTGGCAGAGTCCTCCCCCCAATCCTCTTGCTGCCCTGCCTCCCGCTGCGAGGCGCTCGCCGCCGCCGGCCTCCATTGTCTGGCCAAGCTCCGGGCTGAAACCAGGGGGAGGCCTGCCGGCCAGATGCGGGAAAGGGCGGGCGAGGCAGGAGGGAAGAGGAGGATGCAGGGAGGACGGGGGAGGACGAAAGAGGAGGAGGCAGGGAGAGAAGGGGAGGATGTAGGGAGGACGGTGATAGACTAGCGACCAGGGAGGTGAGGGGAAAGAAGAGGAGGGGCATAAGGAAGATGAACGAGGGGGAAGGAGCAGGAGGGATGAAGGGAGGGAGAGAGAGGATGGGGAGAGGTCGACGGGAAGGACGAGGCGCGGGTCGCGGCGGCGCCCGCAAAATCGCTTGGAACCCCAAGGAGAGGAGTCAGCAGCCAGGGGCAAACCCCGTTCCCTGACGAAGATGTCGGACGACCCCCACCCCACCCCCAGTGCCCTCCCGAGTCTGTTCATCCGTCCAACAATTCCTCCACCACCACCAACTTTCCCTTCCCACTTCGATTCCCTTGTCCACTTGCCCAACCCTTTCATTCTCTATCCCCCACCCGCTTCTTCCTTCCATTCGTCCATCCTCCCCTTCCTTTCAGCCGACTCATCCTGCTCATACTGCGCCTCCTTCATTTCACTGCTGCTTTGATGCTGCTGCTGCTGCTGCTGCTGCTGCTGCTGCTGTTGCTCCTGCTCCTGCTCCTGCTCCTGCTACTCCTGCTCCTCCTCCTTCTCCTCCACCTCCTCCTCCTCTTCCTCCTCCTCCTCATCATCATCGTCATCATCAGCAGCAGCAGAATCATCAGCAGCAGCAGCATCATCGTCATCGGCAGCATCATCATCATCGTCATCATCATCATCATCATTATCATCATGAGCAGCAGCAGCAGCATCATGATCATCATCAGCAGCATCATCAACATCAGCATCATCATCAATCAGCAGCAGCAGCAGCAGCAACACCACCATCAGCATCATCATCATCAGCGTCATCATCATCAGCATCGGCATCTGCATCATCAGCATCATCATCAGCAGCAGCAGCAACAGCATCATCAGCATCACAATCATCAGCAGCATGGTCATCATCAGCAGCAGCATCATCATAGTCCTGCTCCTCCTCATCATCAGCAGCATCATCATCATAAGCATCATCTGCAGCAGCAGCATCATCATCATCAGTATCATCATCATCCTCATCCTCGCGGGGCCGCAGCGGCCTAATCTGCGGCGCATGCAGCACCGCCTCGACCACTGCTGCATAAGACTGCTTCGACGAAGCAAAGGGCGGCTCCTGAGCGGGAAGGCAGCTGGAGGAGGGCTGGGAGAGGAGGTGACCCGCATGTCGAGGATGAGCAGCGAGGGGCGAGGAGCGAGAGCGAGGAGTGGTGAGAAGAGGGGACGAGGAGGAGGGGACAGGAAAAGAGAGAACAAGGAGCAGGAGAGAAGAGAAGAGGGGACGAGGAGGAGCAGAATGGAAGAGGGGAAGGAGAAGGGAGGAGTAGGAGGTAGAGAAGGGAGGAGGAGGAGGAGGAGGAGGAGGAGGAGGAGGAGGAGGAGGACAAGGAGGAGGAGGAGGAGGAGGAGGAGGGAGGAGGACCAGTGGAAACCCAAGAGTCATCAACGATGTTGGAATTAACCCTCCCTCCAAGTTCCCTCTTCATAGGCCCCTACAACGGTTCATTTCCATTGGGGGAACTGCCTCGTTGGAAGACAAAGCGTGCCAAAACATTGTTCTCGGGATTTCAACGCCACGTATCAACTTGATTGCTGCGTCCTGACGATCCAGAATCGTGCCAGAACGCCATTTTTCGGGACTTCAACACAGCGAATCCACGTAACCGTTGCACCCGCATAATCCTGAATCCTTCCGAAACACAATTTCTGGTATGTTGATCATGGAAATCCGTGAAAACCTTGCAATGTGTTTAAGGAATGCGCGCGGCACTAAAGCGAGAGCCACATGTTGAAAAGGAACCGCCCTCAATCCGTGAAACTCCTTGCGCATGGTTTAACGAATGTGCGCGGCGCTATGACGAGAGCCACATGTTGAAAACCACCCGCCCTCAATCCGTGAAACCCTTGCTAGTCTTCAAAGCGAATGTGCGCGGCGCTAAGGCGAGAGCCACATTTTGAAAACGATCCGCCCTCGATTCGTGAAACTCTTGCAAATGTTCAAAACGAATGTGCGCGGCGCTAAGGCGAGAGCCACATGTTGAAAACCACCCGCCCTCCATCTGTGAAACCGTTGTCACTTTTTAAGCTTCAGAATCATAAATGGTGAGCAAGTCTCAGGCGAAACGCTGCGCCCGCCCTAAAAACTGGCCTCGGGGTGCGACAGGGAGGAGTTGTCTATAAGGAGAAGGAATGGCGGAGCAGGGGCCATGCGCATGTGCACCATCGGCGCTTGTGATCTCGCTGTGATCCTCGGAACTGGACCTCTGCCGCCACCCTGCCCGCCCCTGCCACCCTCCCTCCCCAGCCAACGCCTTGCCCACGCGAGGCCAGCAGACGGCCTCCGCTACGGCAGGTTCGTGCCGTGCCGACTTCGGCGTTGGTTTCTGACACCGCGGGGATCCTTCGACCTTGAACGATCAGCCGCTTCCGAAACGCCAGATCGTTCAACATCGACCGATTCTCGGCCTTCCCCAGCCCGCGTCTTGCCCACGCGAGGCCAGCAGACGGCCCGGGCTGCGGCAGATTCGTGTCGTGCCGACTTGGGCGTGGGTTTCTGACACCGCGGGCGACTGCCTACCAGGCCACCCCTACCCAACCCGAAGACCCGAACCCCTACCCAACACGAAGACCCGAACCCCTACCCAACCCGAAGACCCGGGCCTGTCAAAAAATCAGGGAGTGGCGGGCATTTTGGGTGTGGAGTACCAAGGTTACACCAGGCGTTGCAGCGCATACTTAGTTGCCGTCCACGAGTCGCCTGTACTTTTTGTTTTCCTCCTCACTTGCACTGCATATGTATCTTGATCTCTACTCATTCGGTATCTTCCTTGGCTTATGATCATCATGATCATCGTCATTACTTTTTGTTCCCAGGTACATCCCCCAATGCTGGTGGCAAGCGCTTACTCTGCGCGGAGTTTGCCCCCTTCTCAGCTGCCATCATTTTATTGCCTGCAACTTTGTCCGCAGCGCTCGCCACTAGCCTGATTTGGATGTATCTTCGCCTAAACCGGCGACTGCTTTTCCTTTGCATTAACGCCGCAAGCCAATGCTTCAGGTCCGTGCAGCGTCAAAACGAGGAGGAGGAGGAGGAGGAGGAGGAGGAGCTAGAGAACGGAGGAGGAGAAGGAGGAGCAGGAAGAGGAGGAGCAGGAGGAGGAGGAGGAGGAGGAGGAGGAGGAGGAAGAGGAGGAGGCGGAGGAGGAGGAGGAGGAGAAAGGGCCAGGCGCATGTGCAGAGGAGGAAGAGGAGCGGAGGAGGAGGAGGAGGGAGGCGGAGGAGGAGGAGGGAGGAGGAGGAGGGGGAGGAGGGGGGAGGAGGAGGAGGAGGAGGAGGAGGAGGAGGGGAAGCAGGAGGAGGAGGCGGAGGAGCAGGAGGAGGAGCAGGAGGAGGAGGAGGAAGAGGAGGAGGAGGAGGAGGAGGAGGAGGAGGAGGAGGGGCCATGCGCATGTGCACCATCTGCGCTTGTGATCTCGCTGGGATCCTCGGAACTGGACCTCTGCCGCCACCCTGCCCGCGCCTGCCACCCTCCCTCCCCAGCCCGCGCCTTGCCCACGCGAGGCCAGCAGACGGCCTCCGGCGACTACCTACAGGGCCCAGCAAACAGGGAAAGGGTACGGGCACCTAGTTTGGCGTCGCGTCCACGCGCGCAGCGGAGCGGCGTGGGGCAACTCAAGCGAAAGAGCGCAGACCGGGCGAGCTCACGCAGCGTGGAGAAGCTGGATCCGCCCGTAGGGGATCGACAGCAACACTCGCGAGGGGGCAGTCGCGAGCGGAGTGGGCACCCCCAGGCCCACCTCAGGACTCAGGAAACCCCTCCCCCCCAGACTACCTACCAGACCACCCCTACCCAACCCGAAGACCCGAATTCCGAGTCGGGGGCGGTACGGATTTCGTACGTGTTTTTTCTATGTTCCCCGACCCTCCCACACTGGGAATAGAGGGCGAATTGGGGCCGTCAGGTTGGCTTGGGGTTGTTTCGTGGGCGGTGAGCGGGGATCCTTCAACCTTGAACGATCAGCCGCTTCCGAAACGCCAGATCGTTCAACATCGACCGATTCTGGGTCGCCAGCGGCGCTCAGCGCTGAACGCCAGCGGCGGGGTCGCCGCGGGTCGGCACGACGCGAACCTACCATGCGCCCGCTGGTGCAGTCCTCCTCCTCCCCCCTCCTCCCGCTCGGGGAGCAAGCGAACGAACATCCCCTGGCAAGACGCAGGAAGGTCTGCTGCCGACACCCGGGAGCACGCACGGCACGGTCCGCGGCGCAGGCCGGCGCCACCGCGGGGGGAAAGAGAGAGAGAGACGGAGGCGGAGAAGCCGAGGGGAAAGCTGCACTCGGGTGTACTCGGCCAGAGATGGGATTGGGCGCGGGACTGGCTTCGGACCTGTTCATCGGCATCGTGACCCTGTGTTGAACTCCAGTGGCACATCACCCTTTGCCCCCGAGCTGAGAAGCAAGGTGGCCCACATCGACTAGGACGTCTGGTCGAGTCATGCCCAAGTGGAATTGCACATGATTGGAAGTGAGAATCTAAAACGATCGCACTCGGTTCCAAAATGTATGCCATGTAATTTCGAGCCCGAGACAACTTAAACACATCCATACACGTTCGACTACACGCCTAGCTATCATCAAAAGACGCATGATATCCCTGTACTGTCTACCCCAAATGAAACCATATGATCCTCCAGTATGGTCCCCCCTGTACGGTCCCTCTGGATGGAACTCCCAGAATGTTCTCTCAGATGGTCCACTTGGACGGTCTCCCCCTCTGGTCCCGGATAAGGTGTGCCCCCCGCTCCCAGGACGCCGTTGGACAAAGCACGACCGTTCGGCTCCCCCTCGCTCTGAGACATCCAATTAATGTACAATGGATTTCCATTGCACCTCAATGCAGCACACAGCTCAGACTACATTCGACATCAGCTCAGTGCAGCACGGCAGGTGTCCGATTCAGTGACGCTATACTACTTCGCAATCTTAGGGACGTGCGCAACCCATGCATGGGGCTCCAACAGGCGGCGAGCGAGGGGGGGAGGTGAGAAGGAGATGGCCTTCTCAGAAGGCTGCGGAACTTGTCAAAAGCCGCCGCGCCTTCTGAGAAGTCTGCTGTGTCTTCGGGGGGAGCTTAGAAAACTTCTCAGAGGCCCAAGGGACTTCCCAGCCTTCTGAGAAGGCCCGCTCATTGTCACTTCCTCCCCTCGCTCGCCGCCAATCCAAAAAAAGACGACACGTGTACGGTTCCAGGGGTCACCGCGGGGGGCGAGGTCCCGCGTGGATCCCCCTGCGATGCCGCTCCGCTGGACTCCGCCGTGCCCACCGAGTGGCGACAGCTCACGCCTCCGAGTACCCATGGAGGCGAGGCCTCACCTTGCCATCGCTCGGGCGCCCATTCCCCGTGCATTTATCGGTTTCGTGAGTGCTTCGTTCGCTCTATGATCCAGGATGCTCCTCGACGGTCCTCGCCGAGAAAAACGCACACGTCCGAGCGATGCCAGGCCACGGAGGCGAGGCCTCACGTGGACTGCAAGACACCGCTCCGCTGGAGTCCCCACGGGCCCGGGTGCGACGGCTCGTGCTTGGGAGCAGCCTCGCAAGGCGCCGCTCCGCTGAAGTCCCTGAGGCTCGCGAAGGGGCGATGGCTCCACGCGTTGACACGAGGGCGATGATGGCAAGAGGCAACCAATGATCCACGTAGAACGAGGGCCCAACAAAAACAGAAGGTGGAAACTCAACATCCGTTCGCATTGAATCCCCAATAGCACGAAACCGCGACACGAGCGCGACACCGAGGTGTCACGACACCACGACAACCCGATGTACCGATATCAGAGACGATATCACGACAGCCCAACACAGCGACACCACGATACCAGAACACTACGCCATGGCGACTCTGTGAAACTTGCCATTGCTCGGACGTCCATTGCCCTTGCATGCTTCGGTTTCGAGCGTTTGTGGGGGGCTCGTAAGATGATCCGAGATGCTCCTCGAGGGTCCAGATTTCCTCGATGCTCCGAGTGGCTCGTCGATGGCCTCGCCGAGATGGCCGCGATGGTCCGAGATGATTCGAGATGCTCGTCGATGGCCTCGCCGAGAAAAAATGCACGCGTCCGAACGATGCCGAGGACAATGTGACAGCACAACAAGCACGACAGCACGTTGCTGCGACGCCAAGACGCAGCAGCACCATGACACTAAAGCATCCTGCACTCCCGCTCGCCACGGGAGCAGCAGCGGAAAGGAAACGCTTAGCGGCCGCGAGCCCGAACATCACCACAACTCGCGCACAGCTCCGCGCGCACCACAAGATCACGAGATACAAAACACCAATTCCCGTACTATAAATCCAGGCCTCGGAAGAGATTAGCGAACATTCGTGCCACATTTATTTGTCAATGCCCCCCGATGATCAAAGTTGGCGGTGGGTTGAATGAGTTGCACTTCGACCGCACCCTTCCCTGCGCGTGCCAACTTTGAATTTGGGGGATTGGGGGTGTCCATTAATAGTTTCCCCCGACCGTCACACACCCAACCTCCATTCCTCATTAAAGCAACCAAGCATCCACTGGGCCGCTCTCCTCCGTTCTCCTCCTCCTGCTCCTCCCCCTGCCCCCATTCATCCAGCGTCGACGCTCCTCAAAACTGCGTGAGGTAACTTCCCGGCAGGCAGAAGCGCACCGGGCGTAAAGTCGGCACGATCGCCCGAGCGTTTCGTCAAAAGCGGGCCGCCGAAATGACAGCCAATGGGCCGACCTGTCCGAACGACGCTACCATGGGCGCCGCGAAGTCAACAGCGGGCCCATATTCCTCCTTCCCCTCCTTCCCCTCCTTCCCCCCCTTTCCCTCCATCCCCCCCTCCATCCTCCATCTCCCTCCTCCCTCCTGATCCTCCTCCTCCTCCTCCTCCTCCTCCTCCTCCTCCTCTTCCTTCTCCTCCTCCTCCTCCTGATCCTCCACAGCTCGTTCTCCTCCTCCCCCTCCTCCTCGTCCTCCTCCTCCGGCTCCTCCTCTTCCTCCTCCTCCTCTCCCTCCGCCTCCGCCTCCGCCCTCTCCTCCTCCTTATCATCATCCTTATCATCCTCCTCTTATTCTTCTTATTCTTCGTATTATTATGATGCCTATTATTATCATCATCCCTCTTCTTATTATTATTGTTGGTCGTGCTATGATTCAGATTATTATTATTATTATTATTATTATTATTATTATTATTACTATTATTATTATTAATATTATTATGATTATTATTACTAGTATTATTTTTATTATCATGATTCCTATTATCCTTCGTAGCATTACTAATATTATTCTTAATCATGATAGTATTAGTTTTGCCATTCTCATTCTTAATATTATCATTAGTCGTATTACTCTTATTATTATGATGCTTCTTATTATTATGTAGCGTAGTAGTATTCTTCGCATTCTCAATATTAGCATTATTAGTATGATTCGTATTATTAGTCTCCTTATTATGATCATTGTTCGTAGCATTATTGTGTTCCTTAGTCTTATTAATACGACTCTTCGTACTCTAAGTAAGATCAGTGTTCGTCTCATTAGCAGCACTAGTCTTCTCAATAGTATTACTCTTCTTACTCTGATATATATTCTTAGTATTCTGACTAATATTAGTATTACTCTTAGTGTTATGTTCATTATTCTTATAATCAGTATTACTATTCTTTTTATGCGAATCATTATGATTACTATTTGCATTACTAATATTATTCTTAGGGCTGCAATTATTCATTAATATTGCTATTATGTCATCTCGTGTGTGTCATTATTCGTGTGTTTCATTCTTGTCATTAGTATTACTATTATGTGTTGTGATTGCTATTATTCGCAGTGTTCTTCTTATGAGCATTCTTCTTCTTGATCCTCGTATTACAATTAGTCTTCAAATTGTTCTTCCTATTCCTCGTAGTATTCCCCGTATGGTTCTTCGTCGCATTCCGAAAATTATTCCTATTATCATCATCATGTCTTATCATGTGTATTATCATGATGCTTCTTTGTGTCATCTACTTATTAGGAGTATCCTTATTATTCGTACGAGTGGTGTTATTATTATGCTTATTCGTGCTATTTTGATTATTACTCATCTGCATATGGATGTTAGTATTCTTTCGTATTACTATGAATATGTTCTTGTTTGTACTACTAGTAGTATTCTTAGTAGTACTAGTACTTTCTTCTTCGTAACAGTATGAGTACTGGTATTAGTATTATTATACGTATTCTTAATGGTGTTCTTAGTCGTACCAGTAGTCTTCGTAGCAATCTTATTCTTATTACTCCAAATCTCATAATAGTGGGGGGGGGGGGGTCAAAAAAGTGTTTGACGGCCGGTCTGGGACCCCCCCCAAGACCAGTGCAACCGCGCCAAAATCTGGACCCCCCCCAGAAGCATCGTTTGACGTTTCGATCTGGACCCCCCCCAAAGAGGAGCGTCTGGGCATGCATGTTGGGACCCCCCCGAGAAAACGGCGACGACGACGCCGGTGACGACGACCCGACAACGGCTACGACTACAACGCCGATGACGACCGCGACGAGGCCGTCGTAGTATTATTGATGTTAGTAGTACTAGCACTATCATAATATTATTCGCCCATTAACATTCGTAGTCTTCCTATTATTCCTCATATGGTTTGTCTTCTCAGTATTATTATTCGTCTAACTATTATTCTGTTTAACATTACTAGTACCCATCTATTACTTGTATCAACGCTTTCAGTTATTATTGATACGATCAACGATACATTATCATTGTTGTTATTATTCGTCGTCGTCTTCCCCATCGTCACCCCCCTCCCTCCCCACTCTACTCGGGAGATGCTCCCGTGTTGTGACGACGGGTGAGGCGAAGCGCATCTCTGGGGCGGGGGGGGAGGAGGGCCCCTCTGGGGCGGGGGGGAGGGCGAGGAGGCGGAGCCCAGCACTAGACAAGCGCGTTCCACGAATTACTCGCAGAGTATTTGCTCGCAAATGGCCTGGATCCAAGATGGAGGATCTACGAATACCTCAAATCGACGCAGCCATGTGTTTTTGCTCGGACGCTTGCGAGCAGGCACGTTGCGAGCAGTGGACGCGCTCGGTGACAGCACGGGGACAGAACGTGACTATGCTGGGCCCGCCAGGCCCGCCTCCAGCGAGAGTGTCCGCGGGGACGGCGGGCAGCCCGCCCCCCTCGCCGAGGCGGGTGCCGACTCGCGGAGGCGGGTGCCGCGGGGGGGTCCCGACTCGCCGAGGCGGGTGCCGCGGGAGCCACGAAGCAGCACCTCGCCATCGCTCGGGCGTCCACTCCACTCCCCGCGCATTTTTCGACGTCGTGCGTGCTTTGGTTCTGGCTCGATGGCCGAGGATGCTCCTCGACTCGCGGAGGAAAGAATGCACACGTCCGAGCGACGCCAAGGCACTCCTCGTGTGGCTGGACTGGACCACGGAGGGGCGCGCGCGCGCGCGCGGCGGGGGGGGGGGCGAGGGGCGCTCCAGAGCCATCATCTCAAAGAGCACGCACCCGAGCGCCCACTGGTCTGTCTTCAGGCCGTAGGGTCTGCCTTCCCCCAGGGAGTTCCGCCCTCCTGCCCGCCGACCCCCTCCTTGTCCTCCTGCTGCTGATGTCGCTCCTCCTGCTCCTCCTCGTCCTCCCGTTCCTCCTCCGCCTGCCCCTCCTCCTGCTCATCTCCTCGTCCAAGTCCTCCTCCTCGTCCTCGTCCTCGTCCTCGTCCTCGTCCTCCTGCTCCTGCTCCTCCTCCTCCTCCTCCTCCTCCTCCTCCTCCTCCTCCTCCTCCTCCTCCTCCTCCTCCTCCTCCTCCTCCTCCTCCTCCATGCGATCGACCATGGGGACATGATTTCTCGGTGTCCCGACACGCACCACTGACAGCACGCAAGAGAACAACACATCAGGAACTGGGGCGGATGGAATCATGGGACGAGTGGCACGCATGCCATGGGTCTTGCACGAGGGCGCCACAAGGGAAAGGAGGACCCGGGATGGCGCCGAGCAAAGCGCTCCGAGCCACTACGAGTCACGAAAGGGCTCCGCAGGGACAGGAAAATAGCCAGGAGGGACAACCCGCAAGGGAGGCCAGGGAGAGGGCCCCGAGACTGTCCCAGAGGGCCCCAGCGTGGCTCAAGAGGCCCCGAAGACGGCCCCCAAGGGGGCCCCAGGACGGCCCAGGAGACCCCCCAAGATTGCCGTGGGGAGCCCAGTGAGCCCCGCGTCGGCCCAGAGAGGGCCCAGGACGGCCTCCGAGGGCGCCCGACGGCCCACGGCCGCCCAAAGACGGCCCAGAGAGACCACCAAGAGGCCAGCAAGGGGCCCCGAGATGCCCCAAGAGGCGCCCAAGAGGCCTCCCAAATACGCTCAGGAGGCCCCACGCGCCCATGCTCTGCGCAGTCCAGACGCGCATCCCCTCCCGGCGAAAAAAAATCCACGCCTGGACCGCGGCGAAGCGTCTCGGCATGCAGAAGGACAGGTACGTGGCGCAAGGGCCAAGCCACGATACGTCCAAGAAGCCCAGACCCAGAACGCCACAGGATCTCAAATTATCCCGGCAAAGCAACCTAACAGCGATGTGTAGGAGCATATCTGGAAGCATCCCCCTTAAGATTCAGATGAGAATCCAGTTGTAGAGTTCTGCTGTTCTCGCAGTCGTAGTCGCATTCGCGATGACAGTCGCAGTGGCCTGCATTAGCCTCAGCCTCAGCCTCAGCCTGCCTCAGCATCAGCCTCAGCCTCAGCTTCAGCCTGCCTCAGCCTCAGCCTCAGCCTGCTCCTGCATCAGCCTCAGTCTGCCTGCAGCCTCGGCCTCAGCCTCAGCCTGCCTCAGCCTGAGCCTGCCTCAGCCTCAGCCTCAGCCTCAGCCTGCCTCAGCATCAGCCAGCCTCAGCCTCAGCCTCAGCCTCAGCCTCAGCCTCAGCCTCAGCCTTCCTGCTCAGCCTCAGTCTGCCTTCAGCCTCGCCTCAGCCTCGGCCTGCCTCAGCCTCAGCCTGCCTCAGCCTCAGCCTCAGCCTGCCTCAGCCTCAGCCTGCCTCAGCCTCAGCCTCAGCCTGCTTCAGCCTCAGCTCAGTCTGCCTTCAGCCTCGGCCTCAGCCTCAGCCTCAGCCTGCATCAGCCTCAGCCTCAGCCTCAGCCTGCCTCAGCATCAGCCTGCCTCAGCCTCAGCCTCAGCCTGCCTCAGCCTCAGCCTCAGCCTGCTTCAGCCTCAGCCTCAGTCTGCCTTCAGCCTCGGCCTCAGCCTCAGCCTGCCTCAGCCTCAGCCTGCATCAGCCTCAGCCTCAGCCTCAGCCTGCCTCAGCATCAGCCTGCCTCAGCCTCAGCCTCAGCCTGCCTCAGCCTCAGCCTCAGCCTGCTTCAGCCTCAGCCTCAGTCTGCCTTCAGCCTCGGCCTCAGCCTCAGCCTGCCTCAGCCTCAGCCTGCATCAGCCTCAGCCTCAGCCTCAGCCTCAGCCTGCCTCAGCATCAGCCTGCCTCAGCCTCAGCCTCAGCCTGCCTCAGCCTCAGCCTCAGCCTGCTTCAGCCTCAGCATCAGTCTGCCTTCAGCCTCGGCCTCAGCCTCAGCCTGCCTCAGCCTCAGCCTGCATCAGCCTCAGCCTCAGCCTCAGCCTGCCTCAGCATCAGCCTGCCTCAGCCTCAGCCTCAGCCTGCCTCAGCCTCAGCCTCAGCCTGCTTCAGCCTCAGCCTCAGTCTGCCTTCAGCCTCGGCCTCAGCCTCAGGCTGCCTCAGCCTCGGCCTGCATCAGCCTCAGCCTCAGCCTCAGCCTGCCTCAGCATCAGCCTGCCTCAGCCGCAGCCTCAGCCTGCCTCTGCCTCAGCCTCAGCCCTCAGCCTCAGCCTCAATCTGCCTTCGGCCTCGGCCTCAGCCTCAGCCTGCTCAGCCTCAGCCTGCTCAGCCTCAGCCTCAGCCTCAGCCTGCCTCCTCAGCCTGCCTCAGCCTCAGCCTCAGCCTGCCTCAGCCTCAGCCTCAGCCTGCTTCAGCCTCAGCCTCAGTCTGCCTTCAGCCTCGGCCTCAGCCTCAGCCTGCCTCAGCCTCAGCCTGCATCAGCCTCAGCCTCAGCCTGCCTCAGCATCAGCCTGCCTCAGCCTCAGCCTCAGCCTGCCTCAGCCTCAGCCTCAGCCTCGGCCTGCTTCAGCCTCAGCCTCAATCTGCCTTCAGCCTCGGCTTCAGTCTCAGCCTGCCTCAGCCTCAGCCTGCATCAGCCTCAGCCTCAGCCTCAGCCTGCCTCAGCCTCAGCCTGCATCAGCCTCAGCCTGCTTCAGCCTCAGCCTCAGCCTGCATCAGCCTCAGCCTGAGTCTGCCTTCAGCTTCGGCCTCAGCCTCAGCCTGCCTCAGCCTGCCTCAGCCTCAGCATCAGCCTGCCTCAGCATTCAAAATGTGGCCAGGGAATGGAATTCTGGGAACTCGAAGAACACGAAGTGGCCTACAGTTTGCTCCGGGCATTCAAAATCATACCCAGGAATGGAGTTCTGGGAAGTCCAAGAGCACGAAGTGGCCTACAGTTGGCTCCGGGCATCCAAAATGTGGCCCGGGAATAAAGTTCTGGGAACTCGAAGACCACGAAGTGGCCTACAGTTGGCTCCGGGCATCCAAAATGTGGCCCGGGAATGGAGTTCTGGGAACTCGAAGAGCACGAAGTGGCCTACAGTTGGCTCCGGGCATTCAAAATGTGGCCCGGGAATGGAGTTCTGGGAAATCGAAGAGCACGAAGTGGCCTACAGTTGGCTCCGGGCATCCAAAATGTCGCCCGGGAATGGAGTTCTGGGAAATGGAAGAGCACGAAGTGGCCTACAGTTGGCTCCGGGCATCCAAAATGTGGCCCGGGAATGGAGTTCTGGGAAATCGAAGAGCACGAAGTGTGTGACTGTTGCATCCGGTTATTCAGAATGTGGCCTGGGAATGGGGTTCTGAGAGGTCGACGAGCACGAAGTGTGTGACTGTTGGTGAAAAACGAGCCCGGCACAGGCCCGGCCGGCAACTCCCAACGCCTGCCCGGACCCCCCTGTGGAGTGATCTGTGAGCTCTTTTGAGTCAACTAGAAACCTATCAGTCTTCGCTGTTAGGTAATAAACTCGTCCAATTTGCAGCGTTGGCGGGAATGTTGTGTGACCCCTCTCGGGAGCCCTCGGGGGGAGCCCTCGGGCGCCGAACAGAGCTGGTGTGACCCCGTGTTGGCCCCGAGACCCAACGAGGCTATGTGGCCCCGTGTTTGCCATGACCGCCGCTCCAATACAGAGCCCTTGTGGCGCCAACAGAATGGACGGCGCCAAATGTGTCGCACGCGTGTCGTACGCGCCCCAGGGAACGACCTGTTCCCCTGAGCGGCCCCGGTCCGGTTCCTCCTCCTTTTCGGCCGTCGTTTCGTTGTCTCTTCCCCCCCTCCTGCAAGTTGGCTCAATTCGTTTAACGGCAGCCCCGTCTTGCTTCCTTGCCAGCGCAGTGACTCTGCCAAGCCGCCGACGCAAAAAGTAAGAATGCATTGCCACGCTACCTTCGCAACGCAAAAGCTCTTGGTCCCCCCCCAAGGGCCCCCGCTGCTGCCGCCAACCCCTGCGTCGCACTCTCTGGCGTCAAGCAGAAGCGCCACGGCGGGCTTGCACACCCGCCGGTCGGAAGAAGTGGGCAGAAACATGAAGTATGAAGGCGTTGGAAGCAGATTGGGGTTCCGCCCGCCCCTGACGAGGAGGGCAGAGGGCAGACCGCTTCACTCCTGAAATAGGAAGGCGCCTGAAGTAGATCGGGATCTGGCCCAAGAGAGCCCCAGAAGGCCCGAAAAAGGGCCACAACAGCCCGAAAGGCCACCCAAGACGGCCCGAGAGGCCGCCAAGAGGGCCCCTACACGGGGAAGCCAAAGAGACCTTGGGAGCCTTTTCCTCTGGGATAGCCCGAAAAGGCTCCACGTACCACAAGACGCCTCCAAGAGGCCTTCAAGAGGCCCAAAATGGGTTCCCACGGTGCCCCAATAATGTCAGCTTGTGATTAACAAATCCGTGAGGGGCGCGCGTTGAAACGAATAGTCCGCCTGCTCGGGCGAATCGCGGGGTGGCGCCCGCCAGATTGAAAATCAACATGGCAGCGCCGGTGATTAGCGCCGACGCCCGGCCGCCACATTTCCGTCGTCCTCCGCCCTTCCCCGGTCCTCCACACTCTTCCGCACTCTTCCCCACACCCAACACTGCAGCGGTTCATCGCTCGTCCAGACGTGCACCCCGCGAAGCGCGAGGAATAAGAGTACGATGTGGACTCGAATTTTCAATGAGAATAGGAGTCCGCCGACCCAACCCAGTCGGCGTGTCTGCGAAGCCCTTCGACGCGAGGCCAGCCCAACCCAAACTGAAGTACGCCAGCCTCGTTTGAATCGTAGTCGTCGTCGTGAGGGGGATCGAAAAAACAAGGGGGATCGACCAATGTCGCAATTACATCGAAGGAAAGCCCCTTGCCTTTGTCCCTTCCCCGCCGGGGAGGGGGAGAGTCCCTGGAGGTGTCCCTGGAGGGATCCCGGGAGGGGTCCCTGGGGGTGGTCCTGGGGGGGGGGCCTGGGGCCCGGGTAGGCTCCCAGGGGGCCTGGGGTTTGTGACCCCTCCCCAGCTGGGTGTTTTTTTCCTTTTTGTTTTCGCCTCCGAAACGCCCGCCCTGGAATCCTGGCCACGGCCCCAGTCTCGGCCCTGGAATCCTGGCCCCGCGCTCGGCCCCAGCCCCCGGCCCAGACTGGCCCCGCTCCCAGCCCTGCCCCGCGGGTGGTTCCCCAGGGGGTCTGGGGGTTGTAACCCCTCCCCCGCTGGGGACTCTCCCCCTCGGTTTTCGCCTCCCAGACGCCCGCCTCCGCGGAGACAGACCTCCTCCTCCTCCTCCTCCTCCTCCTCCTCCTCCTCCTCCTCCTCCTCCTCCTCCTCCTCCTGCTCCTGCTCCTGCTCCTGCTCCTGCTCCTGCTCCTGCTCCTGCTCCTGCTCCTCCTCCTCCTCCTCCTCCTCCTCCTCCTCCTCCTCCTCCTCTCCTCCTCCTCCTCCTCCTCCTCCTCCTCCTCCTCCTCCTCCTCCTTCCTCTTCCTCCTCCTCCTCCTCTCTCTCCTCCTCCTCCTCCTCCTCCTCCTCCTCCTCCTCCTCCTCCTCCTCCTCCTCCTCCTGCTCCTGCTCCTCCTCCTCCACTTATCTTCCTCCTTCTCCTCCTCCACCTCCTCCGCATCATCTTTTTCCTCTTCCTCTTCCTTTTCCTTGGCGCGCGGGCGTCCTTCGAGTCCGACGCGCCCAAAGGGGTGGAGCCCGCTTTCCCGGCTGCCCCGCCGATCGAGAGCCCGCCGAGCTACTTTCGAATAGCCCATTTGCTCAGGGCTGCGGCCGTTATATAGCGAAGGACCCTGTCACAATCACTGGCAAGCGGTCTGAGCGCTCCTCATCGGCCCCTCTTTTTGGACACTCGCTCCCAGCAGACGAAGCCCAGGCCAATATTGTGGGCGGGCCCATGCAATTCTGGGCCTGCTCGAGCCGTCCTTGGTCGCGCGTTAATGGGAGTCTGATTTATTATTGTGCGCTTGGCACCAGAGAAAACGGGAATGCATCTTCATTACCAATTTCCACAAGGGTAATGACAGCAATGTGGTTCAAATCAATTGAACCGTGCCACATCCTCCTCCTCCTCCTCCTCCTCCTCTTCCTCCTCCTCCTCCTCCTCCTCCTCCTTCTCCATTCCTTCTCCTTATAGAGAACGCCTCCGTGTGGCACCCCGAGGCCAGATGTTAGGGCGGGCCCGGCGTTTCGCCTGAGACCTCCTCACCAAGTATGACTCTGAAACTTGTAAAGTGACAACAGCTTAACAAATGGAGGGCGGGTGGTTTTCAAAATGTGGCTCTCGCCTTAGCGCAGCGCACTTTTAAACATATGCAAGAGCTCACGGATTGAGGGCGGGTGGTTTTCAAAAAGTGGCTCTCGCCTTAGCGCCGCGCACCTTCGCTGTCAAAATTTGCAAGAGCTTCGCAGATTGAGGGCGGGTCTTTTTCAACATGTGGCTCTCGCCTTAGCGCCCCGCACACTCGCTTGAAAGATTTTGTAAGAGCTTCACGGACTGAGGGCGGGTGGTTTTCAAAAAGTGGCTCTCGCCTTAGCGCCGCGCACATTCGTTTTCAAAAGTTGCAAGAGGTTCGCGGTTTTGAGGGCGGGCGGTTTTCAAAATGTGGCTCTCGCCTGAGCGCCGCGCACATTCGCTTTAAACATTTGCAAGAGCTTCACGGATTGAGGGCGGGTCGTTTTCGAAATGTGGCTCTCGCCGCCGCGCATATTCGTTTTCAAACTTTGCAAGAGCTTCGCAGATTGAGGGCGGGTCGTTTTCAAAATGTGGCTCTCGCCTTAGCGCCGCTCATATTCGGTTCAAAAATATGCAAAAGAGTTTCACGGATTGAAATGTGGCTCTCGCCTTAGCGCCGCGCACATTCGTAAATTTACCAGGGTTTCGCGGATGGAGGGCGATTCCTTTTCAAAATGTGGCTATCGCCTTAGCGCCGCGCACATTCTTTTTCAAAATGTGCAAGCGTTTTGACGGATTCCCATGATCAACGTACCAGAAATGGCGTTTTGAAAGGATTCAGGATAATGCGGGTGCAATAGTTACGTTGATTCGCGGTGTTGTCCCAAAAATGGCGCTCTGGCACGATTCCGCATCGTCAAAACGCAGCAGTCAGGGCGATATGTGGCGTTGAAATCCCGAGAACCATGTTTTGGCATGCTTCAGGATCTTTCAACGGTTGTCTTCCAACGAGGCAGCTCCCTCAATGGAAATGAACCGTTGTGGGGGCCTATGAGGGAGCTTGGAGGGAGGGTTAATTCCAACATCTTTGATGACTCTTGGTTTTACACTGGTTCTTCTCCTCCTCCTCCTCCTCCTCCTCCTCCTCCTCCTCCCTCCGCCGCCCGCCCTATGTCACGAGCCTGCGGCAGGGTCATCAGCTTGTCTTTGTCGTTGTCGTCATGGTCGTCGTCGTGGTCGTCGTGGTCATTCTGAATCGGCGGCACCTGCCGCAAGGCCTTCACAATAGGAATGGTGAGCGGGAGAGGCCGAGGAAAAAGAGGAGGAGGAGGAGGAGGAGGAGGAGGAGGGGGCGGAGGCGGAGGAAGAGGAGCAGCAGCACCAGGAAAAGAGCACGAGGATGAACAGGAGGAGGAGGAGGAGGAGGACAGGAGGAGACACGGCAGCAGTCAGGAGCAGGAGGATCAGACGTGGTAGGTGAGGGAGGAGCAGACCAGGAAAAGGAGCAGGAGGAGGAGGAGCAGCAGCACAGTCCCCCCAACGGGCCCCTCCCTCGAGCATCTCGGGGCTCATGAACGCTGGCGTGCCGACGATTGAGCTGCGGACGCCCTCCGTGCTCTCCACCTGGGCCAGGGCGGTCCAAGCAAGCTCCCCCGCTCGCCGTGGAGGGGGGCAGGGTCTGGGAGGGTCTGGGAGGGATTGGGGAGGGATTCGGAAGGGTTTGGGGGCGGTGCAGGAGCAGGAGCTGGAGGCAGACTTTGGGGCTGGGTTGGAACCGTCGTCTACCCCCCAGCTCGTGCTCTTCACTGCAGAAGGGGAGGCAGGATGGATGAGGGAGGGATCGGATCGGATCGGCCTTCCACGACAGGAAGGTGCACGACCTTGACAGCTGGGGGGGTGCGGAGCTACATGAAGCCCAACAGCCCGTAGGGAGTAGGGAGGAGGCAGGAGGAAGGAGGGAGGAGAGGGAGGAGAGGGAAGGTGAGGAGTGACGGCCTGAAAAGGCCCCAGGAAAAAACAGCGCCACGCTGGCCAGTTTCAGAGCTGCGTGGCGTGCTTGCAAGTATAGCTGCGCCGAGCAGTGGCAGCGCGGGAATTGCCGGCGGTGGCCGCGCGAGAAGAGGGGGAAGGACGAAAGGCAGGAGGCGTACAAGGATGGGAATAGTCGTCGTCGTCGTCGTCGTCGTCGTCGTCGTCGTCGTCGTCGTCGTCGTCGTCGTCGTCGTCGTCGTCGTCGTCGTCGTCGTCGTCGTCGTCGTTCAGGGTCGGCGGCACCAGCCGTCAGGCTTTCGCAATGGCAGGAGGAGAAGGAGGAGGAGGAGGAGGAGGAGGAGGAGGAGCGACGGGACATGAGGGAGTCCTCGGGTGTCAGCTAGCTGCGTGCTCCAAGGAGCAGGAGCAGGGGCATGCTCCAAGTCCGCCGCATCCTCCTCCTCCTCCTCCTCCTCCTCCTCCTCCTCCTCCTCCTCCTCCTCCTCCTCCTCCTCCTCCTCCTCCTCCTCCGTCTTCGAACTCAAATCTCCTCATCCTCTCCTCCCCTTTCTCCTACTCCCTCCTTGTTCCCCTCACCGCCAGCGGAAAGAAAAAGAAGGGAGGTAAGCTTGGTGCGCTCGAGGCACATCTGACATCATACCCTTTCTGTCTTTTCTCATTGCGCTCAATATTCTCCCATTCGCCAATCCAGGTGCCGAATCATACCTTGATCCTGAATGGTATTTGCAGCGAGAGTGGGCCAGGTGCAAGCCGAAGGGATGGAGAAGCTTCCTCCTCCTCCTCCTCCTCCAGTTCCTCCACCTTCTTCTCATCCGGCTCTTCCGACTCCTATTTTCCTGTCGTTCCCCCTTCGATCCTTCTCACCTCCTGATTACCTCCGCCCCTGAGGCGAAAAGGGAAAAGCATGGGAGAACACAGACGAGGAGGAGAAGGAGGTGGAGAAGGAGGAGCAAGAGGAGGAGGAGGAGGAGGAGGAGGAGGAGGAGGAGGAGGAGGAGGAGGAGGAGGAGGACGACGACGACGACGACGACGACGACGACGACGACGACGACGACGACGAGCGGACGAGGAGCAGGTCGAGGATCAGAACGAGGAGGGCGAGGAGCAGGAGGAGGATAGAGAGGAGCAACGGCGGGGCGCCGAGCCGCGCCTGCGCAGCGATGCCGAAGTCTGCCAGCAGCACTCTGGTGCTGGCGTGAGACCTCAGTGTCGGGAGCAGGGGGGGGTCAGAGAGACAGAACTTGTGCGCCCCCAATCTTCGAGCATCATATGAAGATAGTTCTGAATTCCGTTTCTGGCAAGATCGTTGGTTGCGTGCACAGTTTAGCGCAGGCGGGATGGGCGGGATTGCAGCAGAGCTTCCCCACCTCCGCAGCCAGTTGCCTCAGAGGCCCCACAGAGGGCCCTGCTAGCAGCACACTGCGAACTGTACACCAGCGTTGAGTCTAGGAAAAAACATTGGGTGTCCGGAGCGTGGGGGGCAGAGAGGAGGTTTGTTGGTTGGCTGATGCACGATGTTGGAACAAGATGATCCTCGCGCCCTGTCGAAGTGCCGCGTGGGGAGTCGTGCCACATCAAGCGCTTTCCTGCTGCTGCCTCGCTTGCCCAGCCAGCTCGGCCATTGTTCTGCGCGTTCCTCCCACCGCTCCGCTCGCCGTCCCTCGCACGCAGGGGCGCGACACGCCCACGCCTTGCTCGCCAAGCACTGAAGGCCACGAGAGGGGGCACGAGGAGGAGGGGAGGAGCCGGACACGAGAAGGGGCCAGAGAAGGGGCACGAGGATGGGCGCGAGAAGGGGCACGAGAATGGACAAGAGAGGGGGGCACGAGAAAGAGGAGAGAAGGGGAAGGAAGAGCGGAGCAGGCGAGCGGGTGCTCGTGACGCCCAAGCGACGTCCCGTGAGAGGGACGGCAGATGCGCCGGGGCGCAGCAATCAGCCCAGCAAACGTAAAAGTTACACGTGTCATTGTCACCAGGCTTGTCGCCTGGAAATGCATATTTTCTGTTATTATATGTGTGGTTAGCCTGGTCCACCCGTGCCATGGCTCCAGACACATCTTAGCAATTCCGGGCAAACTGGAAGATGATGTGGGCATCGTAGATACAGTACTAGCAGGGTGTCGCTGTTGTCGCTCCCCGCTGTCGTCGTTGCAGTGGTGAACTATCGACATCGCACCATCGGCATTCATACGGCAGCTGTCTGTTGTACCGGTGCCCTGTCGTCGCGGCACATTCAATAGCCTGCGTGGCACTCGGAGCGGAGGTGGAGGAGGTGGGGAAGAGAAGGAGCAGAGGAGATGGATGAAAGGTGAGGCGAAAGAGGTGGAGGAGCTGGAAGGGGGAGACAGAGAATGAATGCGAGAGGAGACAGGCGAGAGAGGAAAAGCAGGGGAGGAGAAGAAGGCGTTCCTCTGTCCTCACACCACCCGTGAACAAACACACGTGGAAAAAAAAACACTGTGTGAAAAAAAACACTGGAACAAAAAAAAAAAAAAACAGTTCGTGGAAAAATCTTTGGACGAAAACACACTATGGAAAAACACGTGGAAAAATCACAGAACAAATGTGCGCGTATTTTGTGTGTGTGTTTTCCACAGCTCGTTCGGGCACCCGGATTCTGAGCGCCTGGGCGCGCGGCGCCTTTCGCGGACGCTTGGCGCCGGGCATCAGCACGTTCTGCGGCTTCAGGTCTCGGTGGAGAAACTTCCTCGGGAGGAGGAGGAGGAGGAGGAGGAGGAGGAGGAGGAGGAGGAAGAAGAGGAGGAGGAGAAGAGGATACCGCACTGCATTGGCGACGCCGCGCAGGTAACCCAGCGCCGGGCGGGCACAGAAGAAAGGGGGTTCGGGAGCCCGAACCCTCAGGCGCCAGAAAGTCGCCTTACCCCACCTGTAGGATCGCGGGAAGGCGCTGGCACAGCAAGAAAAAATGGAGAAGGAGACGCGAAGGTTAGAAGCGCCACGGGGAGCACACCGACGGGGTGCTCCTCTCTCGCGGCACTAGTCCCCTTCAACCTCCGATGAGACAAATTCATGGCCCAAGAGCCTGACCCAGGTGATTTCAGGGTGCCGAACATGTAACGGTCGAAAGGGCGGGAGTCGCCTAGACCCCGAGCTCCCCTCGTCGGCTGGGTGATACCCAGCAAAAAAAAAGACGGCGGTTCCGAGCGGCTCTCTCAGACATCCTGTACGCCGGGTCAGCCGAGGGACAGTCTATCATCAGAAACCCCGCTGTGCCCGTGGTGAGAAACCCACGAGAAACACGCAAACAGCACTGGCCACTGGCTACCCAGAGCCTGTGGCCCCTGGCGGCATCCGCGGGGACGGGACCCGTTTGCGGTAGAGGGCGAGCAGGGATAGTGGAGGCGGCAAGTGTCGGTCTGTGCCGATACTGGCCGCCTGTCTTCCGCCTCTTGTCTGGGCGGAAAGCGGGTCCATATCGCTCTGGGGCCAGATCTGAGATCACCTGATCTCGATCCGCTGCTGCATTATCACTGACAGAAACCACAGACTCGAAGCTCACCCTGGGACGGACATTTCGGGCATCCTCCCCACTAGAAACACTGCGAGACCTGCCTCTCTGGGTGGGGGGCCGTCCATTTCAACTTCAACAGGGCCGATAGGTCCAACCCGCAGGCGCATCGATCGAACGAAAGCCGAGGAGGGGTCACCGAAAGCAAGAGAACCAAGTTCCCTTTCATGGATGGCGGGCCTTTTCCTGCTAGCCTGGTCGCAAGCGGCGCCACCAGGAGCGTCGGAAGCAGGAGAAGGCCCACCAGCCAAAGGGCCTTTGGCGGCGCGCACGCGAGCAGGGCAGGCAAGCAAGGAAAGACGATTGCGGGACCTTTCCTGCTTCGAGCCCAATCTACAAAAGGAGCATCGCCAGATCGCTCGGCCGCTGACTGGGCCAAAAACGTGGCGCAGCTCTGGGGAGCTTTCTACCACCTCAAAACCTGTGGGCCTCTTAGGCCTGCCTCTCGGTTTGGCGCGGGGCCTCGCGTCAAAACGTGTCCAGCCTGAAAACGAAGGAAAGCGTGACACTGCCATGTAAGCAAGCTCCTGGACTGCTTGTGGGCAGTGTGCATCGCTCAGCGATCAAGCTTATTAATGGCGTGTAAATCTCTACCGCTACAGGTCGCGAAGTCAACCCATCGGTTGCCAACGGCGTGGGTATCTCTCCCGCGCTGGTGGCCTCTGACGAGGTTGATCGCGATCCCTGACTCGAGGCCTCCTAAGTCGTGGATATTCTCCCAAACGTCCACATTTAGGCGCCTGGGGGAACAGCACCGTTGAGGGCCGCGGGAGATCCCATCTAGAAGCACTTTGTAGTCCGTGTGGTCCACTATCGGGAGCAAACAAACCTGCAAAATCTGAAGAAACGCATAGAGCTCCGCCCTAGGAGAGGACTGGAGGCGGCATGGTAAGGCTCCAAAAACAAGAGTGTCTACGCCCTGTCTCATGCCACGAAGTTGTGCGAAGCCCCATCCAGCTCGAGTCGCCTTAGGCCAAGACCACATGCGCTGACATGCACCGTCGGTATACATGCGTCCTGTGATGCCATGGGGATCTCCGCACATGATGTGCCATCTGCCGCTGTCGTCCCGCTGCGGAAGCGGGGGAAAGCATCCTCTGCTGACCAGGCCGCGCGTCGAGAGGCGACTCGTGGGCGCCTGCGCAGTAAAGCCTCGATGACCGGCATCACGAAGGTACGCAGCACGTTCAGAATCAAAGCTCATGCAAGCCCAAAATATGTGATATAGATCGCACCCTTGCTGCCCACACCGCGGACATGCCGAGTCAGTTCGATACACACAAGCTTCCAAGCGAGCAGGCGTGCAAAGTCCTCCCGTGAAGAGATCGCGGGGGAATCATTAATATCAAATATCAAACCCAAGAACCGTCAGAACCGACGACGTGGACTCACCAGGAAAAAATGAAGGGGGGGTCGCAAAACTGACAGAAACACCTCCCTCACCACTAAGAGAGGGTCACAAAAAACTGACGACCGCCACCTGGGGAACTGCGGGGATATTGCAGCGAAGAGGAGGGGTTGGGAATTCTGACGACCCGTTAGTCCCCTTTGCCGAAAGTGAACCGACGACGGCGCGGCCAGAAAAAACCCTAAGCCGTTTTCTATTGAAGTCGCGCTAGTGATGTGAGGAGGGCACGAAGTAAGCCTGCTTCTTCGAAATCGGGTCGCCATGCACGCTCACTGCCTAGAGACTCTGGGTCCAGTGGTTCCTGCTCAGGCTGCGGGCTATCACCTAGATCACTGCCGGTGTCGTCTGGATCTGGGGTGGAAACCAAGTTGGAGAGCCTGTTGACTGGTTCAAGCCAGTAGCCCACGGGTTCCTTGGGGTACCGCTGTTCACCAGCAAGCGGAGGCCGACTGGCCCACTTCTCCCAGAGCCTCCGAACCGCGGCCTCACGGGCCAAAATCCCAATGGTAGCAGGGGCCTCCTTGCGTAGGTCCAAGACGACACCAAGGTCCGTGCGCCATCTATGCCCAGAGGACGAAATCCAACGCAGGTCCTTGAGGGCGAGCAGGGTGGCCCCAGCAGGGCCTGCAACATTCCTCCAGGGAGAGGCCACTCCGTAGACCTTCCTTATCTGATTGTGCCATGCAGCCTGGAGAGTCTCACAGGTTACACCAGAATCGCGGTAGAACAAAGCCCATTGAATAATGGAGCCGCCCACGCTTCGATCTGCGGGTCCGCGAAGCACGACCCCTGCTGGCACGAAGTTAGCCAGCAAGATGTGCCTCCACCTGGCGCACACCAGGCAGCACGTTGGCAGGCTCGTATCTGATCGACTAGACGAGGCGGCGCTCCGTGAACACCAAGGCCGTAGCTGATTGCAGGCGGCACCGCCTGCTTCGTGAATTTCGTGAGGAGGGCCCCAGCGAGGAGGAGGAGGAGGAGGAGCAGGAGGAGGAGGAGGAGGAGGAGAGGAGGAGGAAGAGGAGGAGGAGGAGGAGGAGGAGGAGGAGCGAGCCCAGCGCTGCTGGGCGCACGCTCGCTCGCCCAGACGCACGCCTGCGCTGGGCCGCTCGAGCCGCTTCCCCCCAAAGAGGTTCTGCATCGGTGGGCACGGACGGCCTGCTTGTGCTGCTGCGGGCAAGCAGGTGTGAGCTCGGGCCAGCGCGGCCCTGCTCGGTCGGGGGCGCGCAAACAGTGATTAGCGATCCATGGATTTGGCGCGCGGTCGCCAAATCCATGGATCGGGGGAGGTGCCCTCCCCAAAATGCGGCCGGTGCCGCCTCGCTCGGCGGCGGAAATCCGCGATTTCCCATGGAAACAGGACCCTTCGCTAATCCACGCCCCCTTAATCCATGTTTGCGATCGGCTGGTTCATGGATCGTCCGTCTTCAAAAACAATGCAATTCAACGAAGGGCAACGGAACGCAAAACATCTCAAGGCGAAGCAAAGCACTGCAATCCACTAGTCCCCCGTGCGGAGTCCATCGAGCTGCGCGGATTAGGTTCCACAGTCTCAATCGGATCCCGAACGGTGACACAAACTATATGAGAACGCGCGCGACACCCTCCTGCCCGAAAGCGTCCTTCGGGCACCCCCGAATCCAATCCCTTGACGCGTACAGCAAACGAGGTCCGCACCTTCGAGG